TTGTGCAGCGCCTGGTCGCCCTGCGGGCACGCCGAGCCCCTGCCACGCTGCGAGGGGCGGCGTCGCAAGGTTGGGCACGACGCTGGTGGGGCGTTTTGGCGGTGGCAGCCCAGCGCGCCGCATGCAGTGCGGTGCTCGGCATTTGGACCATGCCGCCATTGCCCAATGCTGACAGCGAGCTTCCGCTGGCGGAGGTTCTGCATCTCGCAGGTGACTCTGCGCCCAGCAGGCTGCCGTTGCGTTAGAGCCTCGGAGCGCCTCCAGGTTTGGCAGCCCGGCTCATTCCTCTCGCCGCCCGCCTCGTAGTGTAGTTCAGACCGGACCAGGCGTTACGTGCAGGCATAAAAGTCCGCGGAAAAAAATCATGCCGCTGGCGCGGGTCGATGCATGCAGCGGCGCCGAGCTATCTTTGAGAGACCTTTCGGCGGACGTGCGCGGCATCCCTTACATGCCCCACAACTGCCTGCCAGCACCCACCGACTGAAGCACGGCGCGAACGGACAAATCCGAAGAAAAAATCAAAAGATACAGAGTAAGTTCCGAGAAACAAAAACTGTAACTAGTGCTGGATCAGAGCCATTACGAAGCAGTGATATTTGTGTACCGTATGTGTTGGACATGAACATTTGCTGTTATGTTTCCTTGCCCCAGGCGATCTGCAAGCTGCTCTTCGCGAGCATTTCGGCAGCTACAGGAACCCGCCTATCACGTAGAGTTTTGGGGGTTCATGCGGATCTTCGTGGACCAGCACTTGTGAGAAAATTGCAACTAGCAACAAGGACGCCGCATAAAAATTGAATTCGGTGTTTTATTAACCGAAAGCATTTGAGAATAACCCCCCAAGTTTCCATGCAGAGCAACCAAGTTGTGTGACATTTCTTCATGCTTCTTGTGATGCAATAACGGACGAAAGTGCGCAGTGAGCGGGCGGCACGTCCATGTCAATAGTGGTTCTTATCAATTGCAGATGAGGACAATAAGTGAAAGGATTGGGTTCGCTTGGGAACGGGGTGTGGGTGGGACACTGAGGAGGATTGTTCCGGGGACTCCTAGCCCTCTTGGCCCGTAACCACACGGATCTTTGTCCCAATTCCCAGCTAAGCACGGGCAAGATTGAATGCTCGAGTTTTAGGGTTGAAGTTGTTTGGAATTCTCAGGGTTTGGTATGGGCTGTTTTGAGGTTTGGAACGTGAATGATTTTGCTTGCGGCCGAGGGTGTCAGATTCGGATTTGGGCTTAGGCTTAATTAGCAGTATCGTAGGGCGTCGACAAAGCCGTTGGATACATCATGATACATCAATTCATCCGCGTATTTTCGTTTAAGGCCTTGGCAGCCAGGCAGGGTATTTTTAAGAGCGGCGGTCCACGTTTCCAACGTCTGGTATGAGACTTATCCAAACAAGTGTGTGAAAGATACCAATCATCACACGTGGTTTGGAGGGCTTCCCGAACCGCTTTTGTAAGGGTTTCGGGGTTGGCCTGTGCATATGTTGTGCCAACTACGTCAAGTATGCTCCCACGCGAGCTGCAATTTATTTGAGTTCCCTCAATGTGGTGGATTTGGGAAAGACCGTTTTAGAGACCCGTCGCAACTCGCTCCAAGGTTGGAGACACCAGCTCCATGCTTAGAAAACGCCACGGCGCAGGGGCGCTACGCTCCAGCCACAGGTTCCAACATCCCAGGCCAAAAACGTGAGCGGGGCGCTGGTTGTGTTAGGTGTTAGGAGTGTCTTGGGTATCTCTTGCAGTGTTGTTTGGTCACTATGGCATAATGGTCGCATGCATGGCTTGTGGGAAGATTGGGATGGTGTGGTTTGAGCTAGCAGAACTGGTTTAAACAGATTGGGATGTTTGCGCTGGCTGTGTTGCAGGGTTTGAAGAAACCGGAAACTCGTTGAGAGATGTGTTTCGCAGGTGTCACCAACACCGAAAATTTGGGCTGCCGGTATGGCAACCCACAAATGTGGTTGCACTGCGGTGTATGCTGCGGTCTGCGGCCTCATTTCAATTGGGTGATCGGCACGTGCGAGGACGGACCTTTGTCATGTTTCCAAACGTAATGTTGCCCTATGTTCCCATCATGCTTTCTGAAGGATGCCCAGGGCGACACTGTACGACCCTGATGGGTTTAAGGTTTCATGCCGTGTGTTACAAGGCCGGGGTACCACATTTTGGGGCGTGCTGGGCACGTATGAAGTAACTCCCAGATGGTTGGAGCAGCCAATGTCAGAGAGGATGCCATATCTAGGCCTGATGAGTTATCCATTCTGCCACCAGCATATCCGTTCCTCCCGGCATAGCTCTGGGTTCCCTGGCCCCAGGTTATGGTTTTTCCCCTTTATTGCGATACATAGCCGCACAAAACTCCGCTGGATGTGGTGCGAATTGGCGAGATTTAGGTGGGGCAACAAAGCTTGGTGATCAACATCACCCCGCAAAAGCAACTGTACCCAGCATTGTTTTTCTGTAGGCTATGCTGGCAAACATCAGGCAAAAACTAGCGTGAGCGCCTGGTCATCTGAGTGGATTTGAATGCAAATCATGATTTTGTATTTGAGTTACAGCTGCTTGCAGTTAGTCTTCGTACTTGGAGCAGAATGAGTCTTGTAGTGTTTCACCTCTTGGTCCATATCCGCATGGTCTGGCCCAACAGGGGCTGAGCTACCTATCGCAGCGTTGGCAAGAGTTTGTGCTGGCAGTGTTAAGCACCAGGAGACGCAGGGCACCGGCCAATTTTGTTGGAACCTGCCAGATTGCGTGCTCAACGGCTCCCCCAAGATCAACTATGTGGCCGCTTACCAATTTGACGGTGAGATGCGCGGCTCCATTTAGAAACAGCAAATGCCAGTTCAGGGTCTGAATTTGTGTGCTGTCTTATACAAAACATCATGCCCGATTTTTCCGAAATAGCTTGGTAGCCAACAAATCCATGCGACATTGCAGGGCCAGGGCCATGAGGATGTCGACCGGCATGTTTTCGCTCGTCGGTCGAGCTTAAGACCTAAGACCACAATGTGAAAACCATGGACACCCACCCTGCAACCCAGGGAATTTGTGCTGCTGGACGATTCCACTGCAGGGGAACTCAACTTCGCAGGCCCGTTGCACGCGTTGCAGCGTTGAGGAACGTGGCCTGCCACGATTATTTTTTTGTCAATTTGATGAAGATATTAGTGCCATGGCGCACCGCCGGCTCATTAGCATGCATAACAACATGTTGTCATGTGTCGGCTTGCAAATTGGGAGGCGTGCACGGCAACTTTTGGAGGGGCAGAGGTTTCACTGCAGCTTTGGCAGCATTAGTTGTTAGTTCGGTCGCGCAGCAGTTTTGTTAGCTTTGGCCGGCCAAAAGGGAAATAGGTCGCGAAACTAAATGGTTTCAGAGTTCTAGGACTTGCCTAGTAGCTTCCTGTTGATTGTGTTTGTCGCTTCATGTTTGCTGTGTCTGAAAGGCACACAATGCATCGTTCCGATGGCGTGGCGGTGATTGGACAACAAAGTGTCCGGCTTGATATTGATGAGTGGAAAGCATCACATGAGCTACGGACTAAAATTAGGTTGCGGGGAACCTAGAGGGGGATGTTTTAAGGGGGGTTATGGGGGACCTTTAAGGATTATGCAACAACTCTAGTTCAGGGCTCACATGCTGAACCATTTCCCACCACTGCCCATTCAAAGAAGGTTACATGCATTTTGAAGGTACGGTTGTTATAGGTAACCCATAAGCTGAAAATCTTGCAACATGGATCATAACCTTTCCATTGTTGGGAAGCTCCTGGTGGCAAATCTTACGCTGGCCCTATGACACTGGAATCTTGGGATCCTTGGGAACCGCCTCGAAAATCATTCAGCCCAAGTGCCAATGGATTCATATAGTAGTCCCTGTATAACCCATTAGAGTAGTTTCCATTTTTCTCCATTCCTTCTAATCCTTGCGCCATAAACCCTAAATCCATTGTAGTAATTTCCGTTTTCACTTCCATTCTCTCATTCCCAGCTGACCAGAGGTAAGATTGTAACATGAAAGCTGAGCCACACAGGTATGCGCCTTGGGCGCGGGGAGTTGGGAGCGCTGGCCCACGTACTTGGCTGGCACGTTATTCATGTGAGCTATAGTCTAAACTCTTTAAAGGGGTATATATGGGGATATTAAGGGGGCTACTAGGAGTTTAGACTATAGTTCATGTGTTGATAGGAGGCTGAAATGTCAGGCTAAACCAGTAATGGTTTCCTTGATGATATCAGGGTGGTTGGTTTGATTAGAGAATATTTCTTGGGTTTCCAGCCATCACCAAAACAGTCGTTTTGAGGTATGTGAAGGGCTATGACGGAAGTGAAGCGGGGTTGTTCTCAAAATTATGGGCCATTTTGGATATAGGTTATATTACGGCACCTGATATGTAGGGGTACCAAAAGGGGGCCTTAATTTTGGGAACTACCCAAGCCCCCAAAGGCAGACGTAGAAAGTAGGTATAGGGTTTTGGGTTCGGGTTCAGGGGGACTGAGTGGGTTAATAATGGGGTTAATTAGGGTTACTAAATGGGTTATGGGCGCTATGAACCTGCTTACTAAGGCCCCCTGAGCCTCCAAGTAGGCAGGTGTAGGTTACTTCTTCTGCGTAGCCTGCGTAGTTGTGCCTTTCATAGGATAAGCAGTAGGATCAATGCCATTCCGCGCAGTTTGCGTAGGCATGCTGAGGCTTCGTATGTGAGTATAACACTTTCAAGATATAACCAATGCAATGCTCTCTTGTCAACATCAAGCCTGACTAGAGCTGATAAATACTGAGTGATCCTTGTTATGACCTGTTGCACATTAATTTGGGGGCACCCGCGCTTGTGAAGGCTCCGTTGTGCATGGTTTTGCGGGTGTGTTCCGTCCGCTCAGGTTTGCCCCTAAAGCACTGCAGCCAGGTTTGACAAAGTTCGTTTTTTGTAGTTCCCCAGAGGGCAGTGAAAAGGTACAGGTTTGGATTTTAGAAAATGGCCTCCTCCATCCATCCCGCAAGTCGAGCAGCCACACTTTCAAGTTTTCAAGGCGGCGTAACGCCACCTGCTGGGCTGTGGATATTGAGCGCCGAGAATTTTTATTACGGTGCCTTCTACATGCTTTCGCAGCTGGGGTTGAACCTCGAGGGACAAGGACGCGAACCCCCAGCGAGTGTTGAGATTTAGCTAAATTCAGGTGCGGCATATGAATAAGAAGTGATGGTTAAGTTACGTCACGCTAAGATGACACACCCAATGTAATACAGTACGAGCAGCCCAAATCATTGCACCTGCTTGTCAGGGCTTCTTGATTCTACGGCTTTTGGACATTCACTCCACTACTTGACCCAAGGTCGCAGTTGTCCTGCCTGACAGGACAGCCCACCGGCACGAATTGCTGGATGTGGGAGCTCGATCCCGTGGAGGCTTGAGCACAACTAATTGCATCGCTGGTTGTACTTGGGTTCATGCAACTAGCAATTTGCCGGGACTAGGGTTCGTGTGGACAGACATAGCGTCTACGAAAGCCTTTTCGCAAGCAGCGAGAAACATTGGGATTGTAACAGCTCTCCCACAACAGAGGGTTTGTACTGCAACAAAAAGACCGATAATGTGACATACCCCGACGACAGACCTGAAACAAGGCGTCTGTAACGGGGGGTTGGGTGTGCGGGCCCGACAAGCAAGCTTTTGTGCAGCAAATGACCCTGAACTAAATGGTGAGATTGGCCAGGGAACTGCTGGGTGGAGTCCTGGAGAGCCCTTGCCGGGCAATTTGAACATGGTCTACAGCACCGAGTGTCTTGGCAGCGCATAACGTTGTTTAGTGTTGGCCAGGGGTTGAGCGTCTCCACCCCAATTTGACTCACCGCCCGTCAATGTAAATGCCCCCAATCAAGTATTATTGTTAATTTCGGGGAGGATTTGGTATGAGGGTTTAGGGTTATTGTGAGGGACGGCATTGTTGAAATGGTGGTTTACTGTGGTCATATCTTGCTCCCGGGAAATCAGGGGTAGGATTGAACATGCATGTTGATTGTTGTTGCCTTCAATCCCTATAGAATCCTTTTAATTTAGAAAGTCCGGAAATCCAATTTTCATAGGGCCCAAAAAGCTTCCCTGGGAAACCGTTCCTGGTATTGACTGACTGCTCTGGCCGGGTCAGAGCTTCAAAGGAGCACTGTGCTAGTTTCCCAAAATCGGGGGACCCCAATATGGATGGTTGTCAAAATTATTGGGATCCCTAGTAAAATGCGGCACCTAATATTTAGGGTACCCAAAAAGGGACCATATTTTTGACAACCACCCATATAGATTCCAAAATCTTGTAATCCTTTTTATTGTCCCCACCCAATAGCCCTAATTTTGGGAAATCCCGGTGTGTTCGGGGATGTTGGTGTTTCCATGTTGATATGTGAGTGCGTGGCTTTTTTCGCGTGGCCATGGGAATTCAGATTTGGGGCATCCTTTCTGGAGTGTTGGCAGATCACGTTTCCGTCTAGTTCAAGAGCCCCGCATGAGGCCGTCACAGCCCCGTCAACACATGCCTCGAATTCTCAGGGTGCCCGAGTCCGCTTTCGTGCCGAGGAATGCGCAGGCTTCTGGTTGCATGCCCATTTCCTACACATCCCGGCAGGCCGTCTTTTTCTGTTTGTGCATGCATATGCCTATGTTTGAATATTATGCAATCACATGGATTGCGTGCGGTTTCGCTGTTCCTTTTGAAGCTTTGGGGCAGCAAGGCGTTTGTGTCAAGATTCTGACCATGCCTCTAAAACGTTCAAGGTGAGAATACGTGAGGAATACGCAAAAATGATGGCATAGCCCATGTGTTTGTGTCCTTTTTCTTTCTGCTGCAAAAGTATACCCGGACTCTGGACGTCCCATTTTTGTCCTATTCCCCATAATTAATTAGCAGGACGCAAGCTAAAGAAGAAAGACCTTGAAAGTCCAGCTACAGCTGAACACAACAGGAATTTCAGATGAAGTGGTTGAACAACCTATTCTTTGTGTCCTGGACAGGATCGCACAGATCAAAACTCATTTAAGCTCATTTCCATACTTGCAACCATGTCATGTGACCCTAAACAATAAACCCAACCCTTACCACCACCAGGGGTCCATGACGAGTTGAGAAGGCTTCCTCGAGTCCTGGCAGGCAAATGGCATGCGAAAGGAGTTCAAGTTCCCAGAGGCGCTGCGGCCGTTGTGCCAAGGTTTAGGGTTTAGGTTTGAGGTTTCTGATGCAGAGGGTTTTCACAGGTGCGGCGGCTGCACCCAAATCTTAACAAGGGCATGAACTCGAGCCCTAAATCCCGGAATCCTTTTTATCAATTCCCCAAACCCCTGCGCCAATCGAGAACGTAGATCACCCTAAAGGTTTCCTAGAAATTTCCCAATAGCAGTATATATAGGGTACCAGATTAGGGGTTCTACTTTTCGAGATCTATCTACTGAGTCTACTGCAGGAAGAGCCAACATGAGCCAGCATCCCTACCCAGAACCCCTAAAGGATCACAAAAAATTGAAGCCCCCCAAATGACCCCCACTATTACATTGGGGAAACTAGGGGATTATTGGGAGGTTCTATTTTTTGGNNACCCTTTAGGGGGTCTGGGTAAGAAGAGCTTCACTTTTGCGCCAGGACTTCCGCGCTAGCTGCCAGGCAGCACCCAACCAGACTGGATGCAAGCCCTGGGAGGCTGCCTTAACAGGGCACACGGGGGTTTCTAAAACTAGGGCTTTTGGAAGGCTACTCGTAGAACTATAATAAGTTGTTTTGGGCTTGTATGCCCATGCCCGTTTTACCAGGAAGTATTGTGCCCTAGGCCCCCAAACTTCTTAGGCGTATTGTTCCCGGCTGGATTCTCTTCTGAAGGAACAAATCCTTGTTCCTTGTAGCTGATCCCTCAAATTCTCCCTAGCCTCCAAACTGCTCGCAAGCTTCAGCAGGTGGGCAGGGGACAGTCTTAAGCTCAAGCATCACCAGGGCGCATGCGTTCTGTGAAGTACAGTCGTGCCCTCGAAAAAAAAAAAAAAAAAAAAAAA